GGTGCTTACCAGTGGGTCCCACAAGAAAAAAGAAAAAAAAAAATCTTTCTTTAATAATATTATATATATATATAATAATCACTTTACCACACCACAATTACTTAAACAATCAGGTAAATATGTACAAAACAATGATGTGTGAATGCAATGGACCGAAACACGACCCCGTGCTCAGTAGCGGGTCCCACCTCGGACCTCCTGGTCCGAATAACAAAAAAATGCCGAAATGGCAATCAATGCACTTCCAAGAGTTCTCAAGGGAATGCCCCAACCAACTTTGGAACACATCCGCACACTCCAAGGTGTCCGGCACGCAAAACGAGACGAAACAATAATAATCCAGAAAATGGAAAAAGAGAAAAATCAAGATCATTACACTAAATCATTGAGGAAAGTAGGGAAAAGGGATTCAATTCTTCAGGATTCCCCATAAAAGACTTGTTCTAAACTTCTATGCTACATGAGTGAGGGTAATGCAATCAGCTATGAAAGAGTCAAAGAGAATAATTAAATCTGAAAAAGGGAAAACAGACTAAAGCTAAAATAAAAGCTTAAACATCCATAACTCAATCCCAAAAGAAATGGAGAGGTAAAAGCTGTTGTAGCAGGCTGATTATAATAAAAATATGTCAACAATTTGGAACAATCATTTTATAAGACACAAGGGATGTCAACAATTTGGAACAACCCTTTTATAAGACACAAGGGATGCCCTAGTAAGGAATTAATCCTAGCCCTTCATATAAATATAATCTAACAGCTAGAATTCTATCCAGCAAAATAAAGATGCTAAAATGAAAAAACAGTCCTTAAGTGGTCACATGACTCACTTAAAAAAGCACATGATTTATAAAATAAAAACCAAAATGACAATAATATCCTAAACATGAAAAAAAGACAGACTTAAGACTTATAAACGACTCTAGACCAATAAACAATCACATAATCATCTGATCACATCATCAGCTGCCCCTATTAATGGAAACTCAGCCTAGTTTTTTTAGGATCTTAAACTGTTTGAAGAAAGTCCACTTCCATTTGCGCTGCATCAGAGGGCAACACAGCAACGAAAACAAAATCATACTCACAACACATTCAACCTCTCTGATAAAAAATAAAAAAATAATAAGAAAAAAAAATACCATAGGGTTACCATCAGTGCCAGATTCCTCCGAAGGACCAGAGTCCACAACTTCAGACGGGAGCTCCTTGTTCAGGTTCCTTATCTTGCTCAAATCTGATAAAATAAAAACAAATATATAAGTACAAACCTATGAAGAAAATAAGCACTGAATAAGAACAAACACCACAAATATGCACCCAACAAAATTGAGCACCCCATTACTCAAAGGAGCAACAATACTTGATGAGAAAAAAATTGGAAATATGGAGCAACAATACTCCCTTTTATTTATTTTCTTTATTTTATGGTTGTGATTCACGACTGTTAAAACTAAACAATGGCCATTCACCACCCCCCCGCGCACGGAAATCCCCCTACAACACATATAAATAAATAAATAAGAATAAAAGAAAAGAAAACAAACCACCTATTTAGAGATGTTTTACATCTACGAATTCAACAAAGTATTCTTATCATGACCCAAAACCATAGGCAGTGAATAAATTGAGGTTTAAACACAAACCAGCCTACTTTCCATCACCCCCTTTCAACATACCACCCACAGTAGAATGTAGTACCAGTGACCAAAATCCTTTACAACAAATCTGGCCTCAATTACATCCAGATCGTCAAGTCACCTCTATACAAGTATTTCAGAAAATACCTTACATACAAAACCAGTTCAGTCTCTATATAGAGATAGTCAGCAACTCCAAAATCTCCAATTGATCTTTGGGTACCTGAAAAATGATAGGGTGAGCTAACAACCCCGTAGGAAAAACCATGACGGGAGCTTCAAAGAGGTTTAAAGGCACGTGAAAGTGAGTTTACAGAAAATATGTAATCATTTGTATTACAAAACATATATATACAAGACAATGATGTTTCTCAGCAAAATGGAACAAGAAATTCAAGAAAAGATGAACAACATCAGGATTTGAACATCAATTTGAGCAAAACACATGTAGCATAAAACAGATAATTTCATGGCCAAACCTAGGAATTTAGGAGGTAAAACCACTCCAAGCAACTCAAGGTATAGAGAACCCTACCCAAGAGTGATGAAGATACTATGAAGAAGGAATCCTACAACCTTCTTCCTGTTTCCCTTTCTTCCTTGATCTCTCTCTTGTTTTTCTCTTTCTTTTCCTTTGGTTTGTGCTGTAGCAAAAGAAAGGCAGCAACATGTGTAAGGTTGTGCAGAGACATGTCTCTTGGGTTGTGATATAGGACCAGGTGTTAGGAAGACTCATATGGCTTTGACACATGACTGCCACCAAGTCAGGTTTTGGTTTAATTGTAACCCCTCCCCTACCAACTAAAAAATCACACAAATGCCTTCAAATAAAATTCCATAACTTCAATAAGTCATACTTTATACCCAATGCCAGTCATAATTAAAGGTCACTAACCACAATTAAGAGACACTAAGCATGTTTAAGAGCAACTAAGCACGATTAAGAATCACTAAACAAGATTAGAAGGCCTAATTAAATCTTAGGCTATCACAATTCTGTTGCACAACTCTCATCTTTCAATGAATAGAAAGATCTCTGAAATTCTTTTCCTTTTTTTTTTTTTGGTAAGTGAAACAAAATTATATTGAAAATTACTAAAGCAAAATCTTGTCAAGCATGCCATGTTACGCAAATGCTATCCCAGGGATTGGAAATATATATGCATGTCATCATGTTCAAGGAACTGGGGGGGTTAAATATGGAATCGATACTAACAATGAAACAAGGACAAATAGAGTTGTAAACGTGACACATAGAAACATGTATTTAGAATAAAGAACATTATGAATCAAAAGTCAAATAAAGCCCACTCCAAGTGAGGTATTTAGACAATTTAAAGAAAACATAAGAGAAAAACAACATAAAGAGAAAAAAAAAATGGCCTAAAACAAATGGAGATTAGCAGAGCAAACAAGGAAAAAGAAACAAACATAATTGGGTGTAAATATATTCAAACACAATAGGTCAGAAAAGCGACCATACAAAATATAAAAGAAAATTATAAACTGTCGGAGAGTATCATAGGAGTGATTTTAGCCTATGATATAATATTGATGGGAGTGATTTATGGGATTGAATTTAGGAATCCTCCATCAATGTATTTTCGGTATTTATCACTTGTATTCTTTCACGAATAAATAAAGGGGCTGATTGTAAACAATATTAAGAGAGAATATAATAAAGGTGATGTAGCCCTTTGGGCTTTGTGTGTCTATCCTTACGTTCTTGATTTTTAATTTCTCTCTTCAATTTTTATTTCTTTCAACATGGTATCAGACCATTGACAACCTCTGCCTCAAACTCTTTTTTCTTAAAACATCAAAAACCGAAACCATAAAATAATTCACAAAATCTCAAAAAAGAAGTAACACCAAACAAAGAATCAAATAATCAACATACTATTGTCTCACACATTTTTTCAAACAATAATGATTTCACTTGCTCTTTCCCAATCCATTGACAAAGCTCAAGTGTAAGTCTTTAAATGAAGCACGGACATTTTGGTCTTGGTGATAGAAAACTTGAGGAAGCATCTTTAGAATTCTTTTAGGGGGCACAATCTTTGCCCCAAAGTCACTAATTACAATAAAAAAAAAACATTGGATCCCTGAAAACAGCCAAAAATAAGAACTGGTATGAGAAAATTACATCACATAAAACTTATGGGCAAACCTTAACACTTGAAACATGACATCAATTGCGGGAACAGCTGCTTTGGCATCTTCGTTTTAAATAGCTCTCTCCATAGCATCCTGTCATTAGAATAATGCTCATAAGCATACAAGGAAAACAATCCAATGGTAAATGCAGACATAACAAATAATCTTATGTTATATGAGACACCAAAACCAAATACATTCAAATATAGAAATGTGCATAGAAACTTTTAAATGAAGAATAAAAGACCAGTGTAACAAAGCAGGTATAAGCAATGTCTTCTAGATTTCAATCAACTTCCTATAATCTTAAACCAATTTTCGATAGCTGCAAATGCAGGTATAAATTTATAGAATGGATCCATACAAACCCTATATATAAAGGGTTCGGAAGAGGAAGTTTTATCTGCTTTGGAGAGCTACAATGGAGATAAAGCCCCAGGTCCAGATGGTTTTTCTATGGGATTCCTTTTGGAGTACTGGGAGGTGGTCCGTGAAGAGGTGATGGGCTCTTTTCACGCATTCCATGATCAGGGCTCTTTTGAGAAGAGCTTGAATGCCACTTTTATTGCTCTTATTCCGAAAAAGGGAGGGGAGATGGATGTTAGGGATTTTCGCCCTATTAGTTTGGTGGGATGTTTTTACAAGTTGATTGCTAAAGTCTTGGCCTCTAGATTGAGGAAGGTTTTGGATGGCATTATTTTTGATGCTCAGAATGCCTTTGTGGGAGGTCGTCAAATTTTGGATTCAATTCTTATTGCTAGTGAATGTGTGGACTCCCGATTGAATTGTGGGGTTCTGGATGTTTTGTGTAAGCTGGATATTGAGAAGGCGTATGGCCATGTGAACTGGAGTTTCCTCCTTTACTTATTGGAGAGGACGGGGTTTGGTGGGAGTTGGACGAGATGGATTCTTTTTTGCATTTCTAATGCTCGGTTCTTTGTCCTTGTGAATGGAGCTCCGACGGGTTTTTTTCTCTTGTTCGAGGGGCTTGAGACAAGGGGATCCGCTTTCTCCTTTCTTGTTCCTTTTTGTGATGGAAGCTCTTAGCAGATTGCTAAAGAGGGTTGTGGAGTTGGGTTTTTTGAGAGGTTTTCATGTGGGCAGGGACGTTGCTAGCCAACTGGAGATTTCGCACTTGATGTTTGCGGATGATACTTTAGTGCTTTGTGATGCTGATGAGTCCCAATTGAGGTATTTGAGATGCGTTTTGATTGGTTCCAAGTTGTCTCTGGTCTTAAGGTGAATGTTAGTAAGAGTGTTCTTGTGCCTGTTGGGGATGTTCCTCAGATTGAGGTGTTCGCTCAGATTCTCGGTTGTCGCACTGGCTCTTTTCCCATTTCTTATTTAGGGTTGCCTTTGGGAGCCCCTTCGAGATGTGTGGGGAGCTGGGATCCGATTGTGGATCGATTCGAAAGGAGGTTGGCGGGTTGGAAAAAGCAGTACCTTTCCAAGGGGGGTCGTGTCACTCTGATTAAGAGCACCCTTTCTAGTCTCCCCACTTATTTTATCTCTTTCTTTCAGATCCCTTCTTTAGTGGCTGAGAGATTGTAGTGCAACTTCCTTTTTTTGGGGGGGAGGGGGGGTGGGGAGGAGAGGAGTTCAAGTATCATCTGGTTCGGTGAGAGCAAATGTGCCGTCCGATTCGGAATGGAGGCGTAGGGATTAGGAGGTTGTTGCCTTTCAATAAAGCTCTCCTTGAGAAATGGCTTTGGAGGTTTGGGATTGAGAGGCATTGGCTTTGGAGGAGAGTTGTCGCGAGCAAGTTTGGGGAGAGCTATGGTGGGTGGAGCTCTCTTGAGGTGCGAGGTCTTAGGGGGGGTGGGGGTTTGGTCTTTCATTCGGAGGGGGTGGGATGATTTCTGCAAGCATGTTCGTTTTCGGATCTAGGATGGTAGGAGGATCAGATTTTGGGAGGATCATTGGTGTAGGGAGTTTCGCCTTGCTCTCGCTTTCCCTTGACTCTACAGGATTGCTTCTCACAGACATGCCATGGTGGTTGACTGTTATCACCTTGATAACGGGAGACTGACTTGGGATGTTCAGTTTAGGAGGCACTGGTGTGTCGCAGTACCAACGCTCAAAAGTTGTGATAAAATGTGACCAAGTTTGAATTTATAGAATGCCACTAACACTACTAATTATTAATGTAGCCAGAGTAAGTAGGGTTCGTCCCAAGGGAAATGGACTGGTATTCTTGGAATCAATGATGGATTAGTAGGTCGAATGATCAAAAGATGGTTTGTTGGTTGAATTATACTACACTTTAAGCTAAATAAATGCAATGTAAAACAACTAAAACAAATGAGGTGTAGAGAATATGAGAGAGGAGTCTTGGGTCATAGAGTTCACCACTAAGCATTATCTTCCTAGACAATCAATATTTGATGGATTAGGGGGATTGTGTGTTGTAAATGAAAGTGTGTGCCATTAATTGAAGTATTAAGCATGGATGGCCAAGTAAGCATACATTGTCTAGTCAATCTAGTGAATAGCATAATATATCAAATTAAGACATTAATCCTTCCATAAGTCCACAATTAATGCACACTCATCAAATTAGAGAAATATACCACTTGCATTCATAAGCATGGAACATCAAACAACAAGAATGGATTGTCCACCTATCTAAGAAAGTAAGGCAATTACACTACAACTAAGCTAGTGACATGAAAATTAAACTAATTAAACTAAGGAGGTGGCACAATCCACCAAGAAATAAGCACGAACCATCAAACAAACCACAAGAGTATTCTATTTAAGCACCATGCCTTGACCATCACTACATTCATAATATCAACACACAGATATGCATCAATGTCACAAAATCTAGAGATAAACACATAAACATTCATTCTAGCATACATAGACATATGGATAGAATTAAATGATCAATTAGAAGTATTAAAACTACACAAATCATTGTAAAAACAAGATTTATATATACAAGATATCAAGACAAGAATTTCAACACAAATCCCCATTAATTACAAAATATCAAAGTCTAAGAGGTATGCTTAGGGCTATCTCTAGCCCCAAGAGAATGGTTTAGCCACTCATTGATGTTGTCATCCAACCCTCAAGGGCTATCTCCATGGTAGAATTCATCCTCCTCCTCTTGTGTTCTTGGTAGAAACCCTAGATGAGTGGAAGAACTTTCCCAAAATTGTATGTTTCTCTCTCTCTAATCTCTAGCCTCTTGCCAAAACCTAATAAACCTCCTTTACTCAAAATAGCCAAAATCCTTATATAGGTAACTCAAATGTTAAACCCAATGGTCAGACCTGGTGCACTAGGACCTCCAAATGATTGCACTATGAGCACACATTTGATTTGGCTGGAACTCTATTTTTCACACAACTTGAGGCAGTTCGATCGATCACAAGGTTGCTCGGATCGATCGAACCATGGCAGCGCACTTTTTGGATAATGACAAGGCTGAGATATTTTTGGGAAAATGACAAAAGTGGTAGGTGAGTATAAGATCAAAAGAGTTCGATCGATCAAAGGAAAGGTTAGATTGATCGAATAAGAAATTTTCTTGAAGATAAGGACAAAAGGCTCGATCCATCATAACAGGGTTGGAACGATCACAGTGTGATCGATCGTAGCTTGGTTCGATCGATCGGAGAAGGCTTCTTCACCACTTTGCTTCCACTTTGCTCCTTTCTTCCACTAGGCTTGAGATTGCTTCTTTTAATGCTCTAATTCAACTGAATTGACTTATTTTGGGGATAAGTGCCTGAAAAAGGAAATAACATGAAATTAAACTAAAATGGGAAAATAAGATAGAATAACGTCCTAAAACATTCAAGCTTAAGGGGTTTAAATGCACACTTGTCAGCGCTTATCAGGCATTTTCAGAACTGGGAGATTGAGGAGGTTACTCGTTTTTTGGAGGTTCTGTATCGCCAGGTGATCACAGTTGGGGAATCGGATTGTTGGCTTTAGGATCCTAACTCCCAGGGTCGGTTTGAGGTTAGGTCCTTTTTTAGGTGTCTTTCAATTGGCACCGAAAGCCCTTTCCCCTGGAAGTATATTTAGCGCTCTAAGGCTCCCCTTAAGGGTGCTTTCTTTGCTTGGACTTCTGTCCAGGGTAAGATTTTAACCCAGGATAATTTGAGGAGGGGGAATCAGGTGGTGGTCAATCGTTGTTTTTTGCGCTTGTGTGACGAGGAAACAGTCAATCACCTTTTTTTACATTGCAGCTTGGCCAGAGACTGTTGGGATTTGATGCTTAGATTATTTGGGGTCCATTGGGTTATGCCTTGTTCCTCTAGAGGGTTGATTGAAGCTTGGAGAGGTGTCTCTGTTGGGGTTCTCGTACAGTATGCTTAGAGGGCTATGCCTCTTTGTATTTGGTGGTGCATTTGGCTTGAGAGAAATCGGAGATATTTTAAAGGAAAGGAGAAACCTATTTCCATGCTTAAGTTCTCTATTATTTCCACCCTTTTTTGTTGGGTTTCAGGGAGAGATTATAGATCCATTGAGGAGTTTGTTGTTTTCTGGGCCTCTTTGAAGGTTTGAGGCGCCTTTTGGCCCTTGTGTTTCTTTGGGTTCCGCTCCCCTTTTGAGCGTCGTCAATAAAATCTATCTTATCGAAAAAAAAGAAAAAGGGTTCAAGAACTCAACTAAGAGGTACAGGCCACAAAGTAGAGATACCTAAAAGCTTATATAAATAAGGATCATTACCAAGAGTGACCACAGACACAAATGGTTTGTTGGTTGAATTATACTACACTTTAAGCTAAATAAATGCAATGTAAAACAACTAAAACAAATGAGGTGTAGAGAATATGAGAGAGGAGTCTTGGGTCATAGAGTTCACCACTAAGCATTATCTTCCTAGACAATCAATATTTGATGGATTAGGGGGATTGTGTGTTGTAAATGAAAGTGTGTGCCATTAATTGAAGTATTAAGCATGGATGGCCAAGTAAGCATACATTGTCTAGTCAATCTAGTGAATAGCATAATATATCAAATTAAGACATTAATCCTTCCATAAGTCCACAATTAATGCACACTCATCAAATTAGAGAAATATACCACTTGCATTCATAAGCATGGAACATCAAACAACAAGAATGGATTGTCCACCTATCTAAGAAAGTAAGGCAATTACACTACAACTAAGCTAGTGACATGAAAATTAAACTAATTAAACTAAGGAGGTGGCACAATCCACCAAGAAATAAGCACGAACCATCAAACAAACCACAAGAGTATTCTATTTAAGCACCATGCCTTGACCATCACTACATTCATAATATCAACACACAGATATGCATCAATGTCACAAAATCTAGAGATAAACACATAAACATTCATTCTAGCATACATAGACATATGGATAGAATTAAATGATCAATTAGAAGTATTAAAACTACACAAATCATTGTAAAAACAAGATTTATATATACAAGATATCAAGACAAGAATTTCAACACAAATCCCCATTAATTACAAAATATCAAAGTCTAAGAGGTATGCTTAGGGCTATCTCTAGCCCCAAGAGAATGGTTTAGCCACTCATTGATGTTGTCATCCAACCCTCAAGGGCTATCTCCATGGTAGAATTCATCCTCCTCCTCTTGTGTTCTTGGTAGAAACCCTAGATGAGTGGAAGAACTTTCCCAAAATTGTATGTTTCTCTCTCTCTAATCTCTAGCCTCTTGCCAAAACCTAATAAACCTCCTTTACTCAAAATAGCCAAAATCCTTATATAGGTAACTCAAATGTTAAACCCAATGGTCAGACCTGGTGCACTAGGACCTCCAAATGATTGCACTATGAGCACACATTTGATTTGGCTGGAACTCTATTTTTCACACAACTTGAGGCAGTTCGATCGATCACAAGGTTGCTCGGATCGATCGAACCATGGCAGCGCACTTTTTGGATAATGACAAGGCTGAGATATTTTTGGGAAAATGACAAAAGTGGTAGGTGAGTATAAGATCAAAAGAGTTCGATCGATCAAAGGAAAGGTTAGATTGATCGAATAAGAAATTTTCTTGAAGATAAGGACAAAAGGCTCGATCCATCATAACAGGGTTGGAACGATCACAGTGTGATCGATCGTAGCTTGGTTCGATCGATCGGAGAAGGCTTCTTCACCACTTTGCTTCCACTTTGCTCCTTTCTTCCACTAGGCTTGAGATTGCTTCTTTTAATGCTCTAATTCAACTGAATTGACTTATTTTGGGGATAAGTGCCTGAAAAAGGAAATAACATGAAATTAAACTAAAATGGGAAAATAAGATAGAATAACGTCCTAAAACATTCAAGCTTAAGGGGTTTAAATGCACACTTGTCAGCGCTTATCAGGCATTTTCAGAACTGGGAGATTGAGGAGGTTACTCGTTTTTTGGAGGTTCTGTATCGCCAGGTGATCACAGTTGGGGAATCGGATTGTTGGCTTTAGGATCCTAACTCCCAGGGTCGGTTTGAGGTTAGGTCCTTTTTTAGGTGTCTTTCAATTGGCACCGAAAGCCCTTTCCCCTGGAAGTATATTTAGCGCTCTAAGGCTCCCCTTAAGGGTGCTTTCTTTG